ACTGAAATGGAAGAGTCTGTTGTGAAGAAAGCAGTAAAAAGAAAGGGTGTACAAACATCTAGAGCAGAACAAGACTTAGCAATGACTTCAGAGAAAGAACAAGGCAGGCCTGAAAAAAAAGTGAAAATAAAATAGTCCCAGGTTGGAGGAAGAAGCACAAAACAAAACAAAACAAAACAAAACAAAACAAAACAAAAAAACCACAAACAACAAGTATCAGAAAACCTATATAATAGTACATCTGCTGACCATGATGTGTTAATTCAGCAATGAAAAGGTAGGAAAACTTACCATCAGCAATTTCCTAGGAAGGAGAAGGAAGAGTATGACAGGCTTGCACAAAAATTGTCAAGTAAAAAGAAAAAAGTCAAAAAGTGAACATATTTTAGAGATGACCTTGATAACTTAACTTGGCCATCTGAACAATACAAAATTCTCTGAGAGAACTTCTTGTCTCATGGAGTTTACTTTTTAGGGTACTGTATTTGATTTCTGCTCTAGAGAGTTGTTCAGTAACTCACTGTTATCTTTTACCTCAAAAAAAAAAAAAAAAAAAAAGTATGCCAAAGGACCTAAGCCAAATACAGCATCAAATAAAAGAAATGGAACAAATGTATCAAAATGAAGCAGCCGAAGTGAGTAAATCCTTTGCAAAGTGGGTCTATGTAGAGGAGTGGATATCTCAACTACAACATTTCTTATGTTCCCCATAAGAAAGGGGATAATGAACAAATAGTAATTAATATCCAAGGCTGCTGTCTTGAGAGTGAAAAAGGTCTTCTGCTAGAAGAGAAAAATAAGGGGGCCGGGCATGGTGGCTCACACCTGTAATCCCAGCACTTTGGGAGGCTGAGGCGGGCAGATCACGAGGTCTAGAGATCAATACCATCCTGGCCAACATGGTGAAACCCCATCTCTACTAAAAATACAAGAGTTCGCTGGGCCTGGTGGTGCTTGCCTATAGTCCCAGCTACTAGGGAAGCTGAGGCAGGAGAATTTCTTGAATCCAGGAGGCAGAGGTTTCAATGAGCCAAGATCACACCACTGCACTCCATCCTGGCAACAGAGCAAGACTGTCTCAAAAAAAAAAAAGAGAGAGGGAGAGAGAGAGAGAAAAATAAGGAGTTAAGCAATGAATGTAATCATTTAATCATTTAAAAGACTGTTTCAGTATGAAAAACAGAAAGCAGAAGGAGAAGTAAGTATCAAGAAAAATAATTATCTTCAAACTTCCAGAGAGAAAATTTAAATATTTGGTTATGGAGCTACATGTTGAACCTAGTTGAATATAAAAATAAGTAGATGAAAAATATGTTTACCATACTGCATAATTTCATTTACATGAAACATCTGACATAGATAAATGTATAGAGACAGAAAGCAGATGCAGGTTTGCATAGGGCTGGGGCTGGAAATGGGTAGTGACCGCTAATGGGCATGAGGCATCTTCTTGGAGTGATGGAAATGTTCTAAAGTGGGACAGTAGTGATGGTTGCATGACTCAGTAAATTTACTAATAATCTTTAAACTGTGTGTTAAAACAGATAAATTCCATAGTATGTAAATCATATTTTGACAAAGCTGTTTTAATAAAACACTCAAAACCAAAATCAAAACCAAACAAAAAGGAATGTTAAAAGAAGTCTCTGACAGGACACAGTGTGCCATCAAAATTATGTGACACAAATTGTAAATTATAACTTTTTAAATTTTATTTTTTCTGAACTAGAAACGATCTGAAGAAAAACAAATTAATGATAATTTTCACACCAGAGCTAACCCAGAAATAAGTCAATGAAAATGAGCTGGCCAAGTGCAGTGGTGGCTCACGCCTATAATCCCAGCACTTTGGGAGGCCGAGGTGGGTAAACCACCAGAAGTCAGGAGTTCGAGACCAGCCTGACCAACATAGTAAAACCCCGTCTCTACTAAAAATATAAAAGAATTGGCCAGGCACGGTCACACAAACCTATAGTTCCAGCTAGGCATCCTGGCACGTGCCTATAGTCCTAGCTACTCAGGAGCTGAGGCACAGGAATGGCTTCAACGCAGACAGCGGAGGTTGTAGTGAGCAGAGACAGCACCACTGCACTCCAGCCTGGGTGACAGAAACTTACTTTACTCTGTCTCAATAAAAACAAAACCAGGGCAGAGCTGGAAGACCCTCTCGCTGTTTGAGAGGCTCCTGGCTCAAGGACCTGGAGGGAAGAGGTCTGGGACTGTCCCGGCGACTCCAAGGTGTTTAGTCCACCACATATCCTAGGCACCATGGGTGTGATATACAGCTGGTTGTTACAATGGCGATGGCCAGTGTCATGCAGATTATACCTCACTATTCTCTTGCTTGATGGCTACTCTGTAATGGCAGTTTAAGGTGGTATCAACACCCTACAGAAGAATTAAGAATTCTTGCAGGGAAGCAGCAAAAAGGGAAAAGCAAAAAAGATAGGAAATATAATGGTCACATTAAAAGTAAGCCATTAACCATTCCAAAGGATATTGACCTTCATCTAGAAACAAAGTCAGTTACAGAAGTGGATACTTTAGCTTACATTACTTTCCAGCTCACTGCTGCTACAGTTGTGTATCTAGTAACTGAAGTCTACTACAATTTTTTGAAGCCTACACAGTAAATGACTATCAGCTTAGTCTGGTGCCTGCTTGTTTTGTCTTTTGCAATCAAAGTTCTATTTTCATTAACTACACACTATTTTAAAGTAGAAGATGGTGGTGAAAGATCTGTTTTTGTCACCTTTGGATTTTTTTTTGTCAAAGCAATGGCAGTATTGATTGTAACAGTAAATTTTCTGGAATTTGGACTTGAAATAGGGTTTATAAATTTTTCAGACATTGCGGTGTAGTTTCTTGAAAAGCAAGGTTTAGAATCACAGAGTCCTATTTCAAAACTTACTTTCGAATTTTTCCTGGCTATTTTCCATTCACTCATTGGGAATTTTTTGACATTTCCTGGATTATGGCTGGCTCAAATGCATCTGGATGCCCTGAATTTGGCAACAGAAAAAATTACACAAAGTTACTTCATATCAACTTTTTAGGACCTTTATTTATGGTTCTGCTCTGGGTAAAACCAATCACCAAAGACTACATTACGAACCCACCATTGGGTAAAGAAAGTATCCCTTTAACGACAGAAGTCACATTCGATACTCTGTGACTCTGGTTAATAATCCTGCTGTGTGCTTTGCAGTTGGCCATGACATGTAGTCACCTGCAAGCTTATTTAAATTTATCCCAAAAATGTGTGGATCAGATGAAGAAAGAAGCAGGGCAAATAATACAGTTGAGCTACAGAAAATGGTGGCTCGAGTCTCTTATTACCTTTGTGTCATTGCACTGCAGTATGTGGCGCCTCTGGTAATGCTGCTTCACACAAATCTGCTTTTGAAAACACTAGGTAATCATTCCCGGGGTATTTCTCCAGAATCTATCTCTACCTTACTAGTGGATAATAGTCTGCTCTCCAATTCTGTTTATTCTGAATTACCATCAGCTGAAGGTAAGATGAAAGTAACTGTTACACAAATAACAGTGGCATTGAGCAGCTTAAAAATATTTTTACTCCTCTTCTTTTTCGAGGACTTCTGTCTTTTCTGACCTGGTGGACTGCTGCTTGCCTCTTTTCTACAAGCCTTTTTGGGTTTTTCTATCACCAGTATCTGACTGTGGCATGAATATTAGTTAACGAAAAAGTATATCCTAATCACACTTCAAATTCAAATATTTGTGCCCTTAAAGGGCTGATGAAAACCAGAAGAAAGCAAATACCAAGGAAAAATAATCAGAATATTTTGTATTAAATGTTTCCTCTGTGTTCTCAGGGTGAATTAATGTTATAATATTTAAAATTACAAAATAGATTGTTAACTGTTACACTGTGGCATTGGAATTTTAACTCTATTTACTGGTATGAGAGGGCTATCTACAAGTGTAATACTTCTGATTATCTTGGTTTACAGAAACCTCCAGCAGTCTTTGAAACATCTCAGGTGACTCTAGTTATTGTTTTTAATGGTATTATGGTACTGTTGATAGCCATAGTGGCTGCCTATAGAACAATCTTCAAACTGAGCCCTACTTTAGGGGAGGGAAAGGGGCTAAAGTCTCCTCTGTTGGTAATATGTTAGTTACTCTTGAAATGATAAAATCCAACAGAAAGAAGAGATAGCTACGATATATTACAGTAAAGAAAGCTGCATAGTTATTTTAAATTTAATGGAGATGAATATGCTTAATAGCTACAACTACCGCTGCTTGAGAGTAGAAGGAATATTATTTTAAAACATATTCTACCCAACTTGAGAGGTCTTTTAAAATGATTGGCCATATGAACACTTGTAATCTTGCCATTAGGTTTGGACCTGCCATGTTTTATTTTATTCTATGATCCTAAATGGTTCCTTTTAATAATCTAAAAATATTTATCAATACTGATCAGATTGAAGAAATTACTTTGTAAACCTGCTGACTACCTGTATGTATTGTGTATATAATATTAAATATACAATATATTGAGATTATAAAAGATAAAAATATTGAATTCTTATAATATTTTAAGTTGCAGAATATATGTTAAAAAGTGATTTGAATGAGTTGGATTTGTATCTAGAAATTTTATTTCTTTTTGGAATGAGATTAAAATACATTTTGAAAGTTAAAAAAAAACCAAACTAAAAAAAAAAAAACAAACTGAGCCATTAATAAGAAACTGGAGGTCCAGCATTTCCTCTCATCCTTTTGTCTGGCCATCAGCTTTCAGGTTCTCATTAATGGAAGTTTTCTCTGAGTTGTTTCTCTGGGTCCAACTCAATGATCTTTTAAAATGAGACATATCATCAAAAGCTCATTGCTGGGTTAGACATTGTTTTTTTAACTGCAGAGAGAACAAGAATAAGGGAAATTGATTCTAAAATCTTAAGCAATTGTTTCACTCAGAAATCTAGGCCAGCTGGGGTGTAGTGGCCCACGACTGTAGTCCCAGCTACCTGGGAAGCTGAGGCAGGAGAATCACTTGAACCTGGGAGGCGGATGTTGCAGTAAGCGGAGATCGCACCACTGCACTCCATCCTGGGCGACAGAGTGAGGCTTGTCAAATAAAAAAAGAGAAAACAAAGTTTTAGTGTTTGAACTGTGCTGCTGTGCTGCTGCACTCTTTGCACCTTTCTGCAAGTCAGCTAGAATCCTGTATATCGCTGAGAATATCAAATCAAAATTGACTAACAATAGGTTCAGCAATTTTTAAAAATACCCTCAAATCAAATGTTGTGCAAGAACAGATGAACTTTAGGGAAATAATTTTAAGGTGAGCAAGGTATACTTCTCTTCCAGTACATTTTAAATTTTAAGAGGATTTTTTTTTTTTTTTTTTAGTTCTTATTACACGTATGAGGAACAATGCCCTTGGCAGATTGTTGCAAAACACTTATCCCTTGATTATGTTTTGTCCTGTCATCTCCACATAGACATTTCAGTCTCACTGCAAGTCACCTTAACATTTTACTCATGAGTTACAACAAAATGAAAACACAAAAGGATGCAAATTAAATTCACCTGCAAAATAAGAGATTATCAAAAGAATTAAATTACGTGTGAAAAGGTTATACTAAATACTTTTTGTTATTTTCTTTCTTTTTTTTTTTTTTTTTCTTTTTCCTGAGACTGAGTTTCACTCTGTTGCCCAGGCTGGAGTGCAGTGGCGCAATCTCGGCTCCACCTCCCGGGTTTAAGCGATTCTCCTGCCTCAGACTCCCGACTAGCTGGGATTACAGGCATGCGCCACCACGCCCAGCTAATTTTGTATTTTCAGTAGAGACAGGGTTTCTCCATATTGGTCAGGCAGGTCTCGAACTCCCGACCACAGGAGATCCACCCGCCTCAACCTCCTAAAGTGCTGGGATTAGAGGCGAGAGCCCCCACGTCCGGCCACTTCTATAGATCTTCTATTCAAACCCATTTCTAAGTTACAGGCTATCTGGGCTAGGAGCTGCATGTGCCCCAGGTGAGAATCAAATGAAGCCTTAATAACTGCCACTTTTGATCAGTATCTGATTCGACATTTTACCTTCGTTAGCGGAGAGCTGTGGCTCCACCTGGTTGTGGAGCGGTTTCCCAAAGCCACAGGGCGTCAGGATAACTCAATACGGGGTGAATAATTCACCGGCAGAGGTGCTTTCCCTGACCCTCGAGCTTCCTGCCTGGAATCCAGAGCTGCGTGGGTCGCGGGCTGGAGAGAAAATGTCAAAGCCTGGATCAGTGCGGTCGCGAGACAAGAGATGTCAGGTCCAGCCCCAAAGCGGGAGGGAGGCCTGACAGCGCCTTCCGGGCAGCAGGGCCAGGTGAAGCCCGAGCACTCAGGCCTCGGTTTCCGAACCGGGGACCGCTTTAACCAGCCTGGGGCTGCTTTTAGAGTCGCAGCGGCTTCCGTCTTCCCTCCCGAGGTTTGTGCGTCCCGGCTGGAAATCCTGAGTTGGGTAGCCAGACTCGACGTTTGCGCGCAAACCGAAACAGCTAATGGCTGGCGCCCGGCGAGCGCCTCGCGCCTCGCAACAGTTGGCCCAGAAGGCAGCGCGCATGCCTGCTGAAGGACCCGGCCCCGCCCTACCCCACCCCGCTACTGTGTGACTAAAGCCCCTGCTGCGCGCGCGCAGGTGTGACCTGCGTCCACAGAGTTAGTTCAGCCGGCCTCCCTTCACACACACGTGGACACATTATCACCTCCTCAAGCCTTAAGGTGCCGAGTCTAAAACACAGGGCTGCCCCAAGCCCCTCTCCCGGGGTTCTCTGCCTGGCTCCATCTCACTTCAGGGCCACAGTCCCCACTGATCCAGACCTGTCTTCGGAAGCGCCTGTTGTTGGCACTAATGAAGAGCAGTACAGCGAGAGGACGGTTCCAGGGCATGGGAGAGGCCCCTGATTTCTAGGATATTCTGGCGTCAAAAGAAAGGATATGAAGTAAGACAACAGATTGTCTAAGCCGCTGTGTTTTGGAAACAGGATCAGAATTGGGCAAAACACAGCCCAGCTGGCATACTGAAAATTAGTTCAAAACCCTGTTAGACAAGTTGAGCATTCCTTTCATGTGTTTGCCGCAGCAGTAACGCGCACAGCACTGCACACCGCACGCGAGCTTGGGCCCAGCGTCGGGATGTTCCCTGACCCCGGTGGAAACCAGCGGGTTAGAGAAAAGCGCAGTCGTCTCCCGTTAACCCACTTTAGCCCTCATTCCCTCCTTTCTCAAGTCCCCTCTCCTCCCCCCCACCCCCTCCCTACAGGTCAGAGAAGACCCCGGATGAGAGGGACGGGAGGGCTGTGGGACGGCGCGCTCCCTCCTGCGGGCCCAGCGAGCTGGGGAGACCCCGCGAGAGGCACGGACTGTGCTGAAGCCGGGCGGGAGCGGCGTCGGGGGCGCGGTCCCAGCAGTAGAGCCCTCCGGCGAGGTCGCCGGTCTGCGCGGCTCTGTGCTGGGGAGAAACTCAGGTCACCTCAGCTCCCCCAGAGTCCAGGGCTGGCGGATGGCGCCCCCTCCGTAACCGCCGCACGACCCCCACAGCTACCAGGCCGCGCTCGGTCCCCTCCCCGGGCGAAAGCCAACAGCACCCACTGGTCGCCTGCGGGTTGCGAGGGCGGCTTTCGCCGCTGTGCAGCGAATCCGGCGTGGGGACTAGGCCACTCTCTGCGAGGAATCTGAAGAGGTCCAGGGTTGGAACAGGGGGACAGGTGGGAGGGTCGCCCAGGGCCTCAGGCCTCCTGTCCCCCCCTCCCCGCTGTCCCCACGCCCAGGCAGGCCCGCGGGTGGAGCGCAGCTGTCTGGGAGAGCACGAGGGCCTTTCCAAATTCAGTCAGGAGAGGCCCCAAGTCTCGAGGCCACTGCCTCGCACCCTTTCCTGCCCATGACCCTCACGCCAGTCCCCACCAGCCTCGCCAACGCCCGCCGGCCCCTCAAGGAGAATACCTAGGGCCGTACAGAAAAGCGCAGTCGTCTCCCGTTACCCCACATCAGCCCTCATTCCCTCCCTTCTCAAGTCCCCTCTCCTCCCCCTTACCCCCTGCCCAAAAGTCAGAGAAGACCCTTGATCAGGGTCTGCTGTGTGGCACGCACAGCAAGGACCAGGAGGACCTAGGCCTCTTTGACAGCGACACTGACGGCGAACCCCGAGAAGGCAGAGATTGACCCGGGGAACATCCATCTCCACAAGCCCAACGAGCGCGATGGCGATTAGAACACATGCTCCCCCGCTCCGCACACCCACACCTCGCCAGACCTCTCTAATCTCAGCCGGGGTCCAGGTGGACTTGGCACCTGGAGCTGTACCTGGGAGCGTGCAACGCTGCGGGCCGGGCCTGGTCTCCGCGGAGCGCCCCTGACCACCGCGACGGGCAGCTGCGATGTGGAGGTCCAGGAAGGCGAGGTCTTGGGCAAGGCAGGTCCCCTCCGCCCAGCTGGAGCCCTCGCCGGCGTGGCAGAGGCGGGGGCTGCGGGCCCTGCGCGCCGGGGTGGCCCGTGGGCAGCGGGGAAGGCAGAGCGGTGGGCGGGCCCTGCGGGCTCTAGGCTGCGGTAGCCAGCCACCAGATGGACTTGCCTGAGCGGCTCACCCTGCAGCTCTCCACTGCAGCGCCAGGGCTAACTGGGGCCTGCAGCCGGGCTCTGGGATCTCCTTGGCCAGGCCCAAGGGCAAGCCTCGGGGCTTGAGCAAGTTAGCGGCTGTCAGAGGGGAGCCCTGGTTCTGGGTGAGGGTAGAAGAGGCGCATGTCCCTCTGCCCTGTCCCTGTCGCCCTCGTCACTTTGGTGGCCACCCTGCCTGTTGGTCTTGTGAAGATGGATGCTCTCCAGGTCAATTTCTGCCTTCTCGGGGTTGCCCTGAGTGTCTCCGCCAAAGAGGCCTCCTGGTCCTTGCTGTGTGCATCCCACATCACCGTGTTCTCCTTGAGATGCTGGTGAGCGTTGGTGAAGCTGGTGGGGACTGGCATGAGGGTCATCTTGGTGATGGTGACCAGCATTCTTTCCTTGCCCCTAGTGGGGCAGGGGTTCTTGCAGTGCCCCTTGACCCAGGCCTTGAGAGTGCCTGTGTTCTCACAGGTGGCATTCTTGGGTCACCCAGAGATCCCCTCTGGCCATAGGGACAATGCGCCAGGGTAGTGTGGGCCAAGAAGGTGACAGGGTGCACCCAGGGTTGCCCTTGAGTTCATCTTGCTAGCTGCAGCCCTTCAGCCACAGGACAGAGCCAGAGAGGAGAGAGGGGAGGGAGGTGGGGGGGGCAGAGAGAGAGAGAGAGAGAGAGAGAGAGAGAGAGGGAGGGTGGGAGGGAGAGGGAGATGAGTCCCCTAAGCTGGGAAAGTCAGGAGCCCCCCCCCCCCCGCCCGCCCGCCCTGTGGGCTAGAGGGCCTCCCTCATGCTTTTTAGGGCCCTGTTCTTCTTCCCACCCACCCCAGTCCATCACTGTGTGAAGGGGACTCAGAACCACCAGCTGACTTCAAGAACCGCCCTTTCATTGACCATGGAGTTGTTTTTTTTTTTTTTTTTTTTTCACTCTAGAAAAGTTCCAGAAACCACATCTCCCTAGAAAAGCACGAATAAACTCTGGTCCCTATGCGCTCCCTAGGCCACCCCTGGTCCCCACCAACAACAGCTCAAGAAACCCATCTTTCCAAGTTTATCTTACTTACACTAGGAAATGAAAAAAAGCTTTCAAGTAGGGTGAGGAAGCTTTCAAGCCACCCACCCACCCCTGTGACCCTGCCTGTGCTGTCCTCTGCAGCAGTGCCCTCAGCCAGCCCCTTCCCTTTGGCTAGGCTGCTAGCACTGCTGCCCTTCTCAATTCCTGCCTTGTGTCCCAGAGGGTCTTCAAGCTAAGACTCCAAGGGAGGAAGAGTGCTACTATCCAGGGAGGTGGGATGCTTCAGCCTGCTGGCTTTCTGCTGCATCAGGCTTCAGGGTAGCAGCTTCATAGAGGAGGTACCTGGAGTACAGCAGAGGGGCAGAACAGGAGAGGGCAGAGGGGTATTCCAAAGCTTGGCCGGCCTGGCAGTGTCCTGGCCTGCTGTGGCTGAGGAATGTGGGGCTGCACAACCTGTATGCGTAGGGACATATCCTGCCCAGTGTGCAAGTGTCAACATGGGCTGCCTTGCACTTGTTGGCGTGTACATACCCAACAGCATCAGGTCACAACAAAACCCAACATCTACCCAGACAGGAAGAAGACAGCTATAGTATGAAGGGGGCAGAGAGGGGCTCCCCATTCAGGCTGGGGCTCTCACAGTGATGGGAATGCCACTGGCATTTTGAGAAAGAGTTATTTGTGGTTGGGCCATTTAACATGGCCAACTCTAAGCAGGAAACACCAGTGGCACCAACACCCAGTGTCCCACTTGCCCACTCCTGGCATGGTGACATTTACAGCCACATGGCAGATTTCTGCATGCTCCTTAGGGGAACAGTACTGCCTCAGCCCGTTTTGCTGCTCCCTAGTTTGCTTCCAACGTAGATCTCTGCATTTGGGAGACTGACCACAGGGTGGGTGGGAGATGGGAAAGGGTCTCCAGTGAGTGTGGCTTCTTCACTTTCCAGAACTTCTCTCTTCAAGGATCCAGCTCCAGAACAACCCAGAGTGCCCATGCTCTCTGGCAGGGCAGCCTCCCCAGCCCCAGCCTCAAAGGGCTGCGCCTCAAGCCATTCACTACCTCCTGGCACAGGCAGCAGAGCCTCTGTGGGTGGGCATGGGGGAAGCTGGCACAGCACCTGTGCACTGGGCACGGGCAGGAAGCTGTGGTCAGGGGAAGATGCACAGCAGGTGGAGGATGTAGTGATGCCTGTCTTGCCAATTACATCCACCGAGAAGCAGAGCTCCACCTCCTCATCCCTGCCATTGAACACCCAGTGCCTCAGAATCTTGAGGGCCAACTCGAGTGTCCCAGCAGCTCCAGGTACTGTGGCTATGTTGCCACCATCTTGTCTAAGTCTATGGAACCATAGATGAAGTTCTACTTCTGGTCCTGCTCCAAGGACTGGGTCACTATCAGGCTGCCCTGTGCCACCCCTCTTTCTGTAAGGTCGGGTGTGTTTGGGGAGGGGTTGGGAGAGGGGTTCAGCCTAGGCCTGGCCTTTCTTTCTCTGGTCATTGTGTGAGGCTCAGAACCCTGCGTGGAGCTGTGTAGAGGCACAGGCTCCCTGGGTCCCTAGGCCTGGAGGGGCAGGGATGGAGGGAGAGCCTGGCTCCTCTCACCCTGGTAAGGGTAGATGCTGGAGCCATCCTGACTGGGCCCTGGCAGCATGGCAGAGGCCCTGGGGCGTCCTGGAGTCAGGAGCCTCAGTTTAGATACTCAGGTGGGAATCTGCTGGGGTTCTTAATTAGGGCTTCCCTGAATAGATCCGGGCTGGCTGTAATGGAAACCCCAGCCATCTCTACCAGCTTCCCAGGGACATAGACGCTGATGTCCTACCCACTAGTATGCTCCCAGTTTCCCCAAAATGAATAGCTTCCCCTGACCCAGCTCACCCCAGGTAGAACCTCTCAGCACACAGCTGAGAAGGGGCTTCACTGATGTTTTCACAGAAATTCTCCAACAGACTGTGTGCAGCCACTCATT